AAGTACAAAAAGCCATAGGCGTTCAATAATTTCCATTAAAAAAGAGAAATTATTGAATTCTTATTTAAAAAAAACAAAAGCTTATGTATATTTATCCTTAATTATTATTTTTTATATAACAGTACTTATCTGAATGCATTACTTATGACTGATTGCAATTGACGTTGAATTATTTCTGATATAAAAGAAGAAATATTTGCATTTTTAAGCAACACGAACACAAATTTAGTATCTTTTCCCTAAAATTCAGCATATTTTATGAAAAAAAAAAAACAATCCTGATGTACAAAAATAACCAAAATCAAATGACGGTTCATAATTTCTATCAAAATAAAGAAATTATTGCATTCTTATCTAACAAAAACAAAAGTTTATGCATATTTATCCTTCAATTATTCATATCTTATATAAAAGTACTTATCTGAATGCATTATTATGACTGATTGCAATTGACGTTGAATTATTTCTGATATAAAAGAAGAAATATTTGCATATTTAAGCAATGCGAACAAAAATTTAGTATCTTTTCCCTGAAATTCAGAATATTTTATGAAAAACAACCAATCCTGATGTACAAAAAGAACCAAAATCAAATGAGGGTTCATAATTTCTATCAAAATAAAGAAATTAATGCATTCTTATCTAACAAAAAAAAATGTATGCATATTTATCCTTCAATGATTCACATTTTATACAAAATAACTTTTCTGAAGGCATTTATAATGACTGATTGCAATTGACGTTGCATTTTTTCTGATATTAAAGAAGAAATATTTGCATTTTAAGCAAAGCGAACAAAAATTTAGTATCTTTTCCTTGAAATTCAGCATATTTTATGAAAAACAACTAATCATGATGTACAAAAAGTACCTAAATCAAATGACGGTTCATAATTTATGTCAAAATAAAGAAATTATTGCATTCGTATTCAACACAAAACAAAAGTTTAAGTATTATTCTCCTTACATTATCAAAATTCTCACAAAAAAACAAAATCTTATTGGAGGATTTTAAAATAACTAGTTACAAATAACATTGCATATTTTTTTATCAAAAGAAGAAAAGAAAAATCGGTAATTTTAATCAATGCAAACACCTTTAAGTATGTTTTCTCAGATATTATTTTGATTTTATAAAAAACAACCAATCCTGAACCATAAAAAGTACAAAAAACCATAGGAGGTCAATAATTTCTATTAAAATAGAGAAATAATTGAATTCTTATTTAACAAAAAACAAAAGTTTATGTATATTTATCCTTAAATTGTTCATATCTTATACAAAAGTACTTATCTGAATGCATTAATTATGACTGATCGCAATTGAAGTTGCATTATTTCTGATATAAAAGAAGAAATATTTGCATATTTAAGCAACGCGAACAAAAATTTAGTATCTTTTCCCTGAAATTCAGCATATTTTATGAAAAACAACCAATCCTGATGTACAAAATGTACCGATATATCAAATGACGGTTTATAATTTCTATCAGTATAAAGAAATTATTGCATTTGTATTCAACACAAAACAAAAGTTTACGTATAATTCTCCTTACATTATCAAAATTCTTACAAAAAAAATCTTATTGCAGGACTTTGAAATAACAAGTTGCAATTAACATTGCATTATTTTTTATCAAAAGAAGAAAAATTGGTAATTCTAATCAATGCAAACAACATTTTAGTATCTTTTCTCAGATATTATTTTGATTTTATAAAAAACAACCAATCCTGAACCATAAAAAGTACAAAAAACCATAGGAGGTCAATAATTTCCATTAAAATAGAGAAATAATTGAATTCTTATTTAACAAAAACAAAAGTTTATGTATATTTATCCTTAAATTATTCATATCTTATACAAAAGTACTTATCTGAATGCATTAACTATGACTGATTGCAATTGAAGTTGCATTATTTCTGATATAAAAGAAGGAATATTTGCATATTTAAGCAACACGAACAAAAATTTAGTATCTTTTCCCTGAAATTCAGCATATTTTATGAAAAACAACCAATCCTGATGTACAAAATGTTCTGAAATCAAATGACGGTTCATAATTTCTATCAAAATAAAGAAATTATTTAATTTGTATTCAACACAAAACAAAAGGTTTAGGTAAAATTCTCCTTACATTATCAAAATTCTTAAAAAAATCTTATTGGAGAACTTTGAAATAACTAGTTACAAATAACATTGCATTATTTTTTATCAAAAGAAGAACAATTGGTAATTTTAAACAATGCGAACAACATTTTAGTATATTTTCTCAGATATTATTTTGATTTTATAAAAAACAACTAATCCTGAACCATAAAAAGTACAAAAAACCATAGGCGTTCCAATAATTTCCATTAAAAAAGAGAAATAATTGAATTCTTATTTAATAAAAGCAATAGTGTATGTATATTATCCTTAAATTATTCATATCTTATACAAAAGTAATTATCTGAATGCATTAACTATGACTGATTGCAATTGAAGTTGCATTTTTTCTGATATAAAAGAAAAAATATTTGCATATTAAAGCAACGCGAACAAAAATTTAGTATATTTTCCCTGAAATTCAGCATATTTTATGAAAAACAACCAATCTCGATGTACAAAATGTAACTAAATCAAATGACGGTTCATCATTTCTATCAAAATAAAGAAATTATTTAATTTGTATTCAACACAAAACAAAAGTTTAAGTAAAATTCTCCTTACATTATCAGAATTCTTAAAAAAAAAATCTTATTGGAGAACTTTGCAATAACTAGTTACAAATAACATTGCTTTATTTTTTTTCAAAAGAAGAAAAATTGGTAATTTTAAACAATGCAAACAACATTTTAGTATAAATTCTCAGATATTATTTTGATTTTAGAAAAAACAACCAATCCTGAACCATAAAAAGTACAAAAAACCATAGGCGTTCCAATAACTTCCTTTGAAAAAGAGAAATTATTGAATTCTTATTTAATAAAAACAAATTTAAAGTGTATGTATATTTATCCTTAAATTATTCATATCTTATACAAAATTAATTATCTGAATGCATTAATAATGACTGATTGCAATTGACGTGCATTATTTCTGATATAAAAGAAGAAATATTTGCATTTTTAAGCAACTCGAACAAAAATTAAGTATCTTTTTTCTGAAATTCATCATATTTTATGAAAAACGACCAATCCTTATGTACAAATAGTACAAAATAATGAAATAATTGCATCTTTAATCAACACAAATTAAAGTTTAAGTATTTTAATACTTATTTTTTTTAAATTCTATCAAAGAAACTTTTCTTTAGGCCTTTTAAATAACTAATCAGAAATAACATTGCATTATATGTTATAAGAAGAAGAAATATTGGTAATCTAGAACAAAAATTAAAACAACACTCTAAATTAATTAAACCAAACAAAGCTGTATGTATCTTTACTGTTCTAATATTTATATTTTCATCATCTAACGACAACAAATAGTCTAAGAGTACATATTTTAAATGATAACATTTTATCGCTTTTTAGTGGTACATAATTAACGAGTAAAGGTGTCTTCGTAGAGGTCCGCGTGTATCGACTGTAAATAATGTGGAGTTCGTTTTACATAAGAATTTTAATTATATACGTATCCGTCCGATCCGTGCATACAATTAATTTACTGATCGATCGCTGACCGTTGTCACAGTAACTCTCACATAGCCTATTTGACGTATCTGACGGATTCTATGGGTACTCGATCACCGATCAGTCATCGATCAGTCAAACATCCGTCACCAATCATTCACCGATCAGTCAAGTTCACGTCAAACAGTAACGCCTAAGGTTGCAAGTACTGTACGACCCAGTAAAAACTGTTATCAATTCAGCGATTCAGAACCAATTGCATTATGCATTTGGTCATTTTAAAATAAAATCATGAGAAAAAAATTTGGTACATTTATGAAATTAAAACTTGAAGTTTCAAAGTTAGGAACTGAAATGCAATAAAATATGTTAAAAAAGGCGTGTCAGTGTATATCACAATCTATATAATTTCAGGCAAGAGATTAGACATATTTGATAAAAGTCATTATCGTATAATAAAACAGTCTGCAGTGGCATGAACAGGTTGTAATATGATTCAAAGTCAAATAAATCCAGATGTAATTCAAGATATGAGGCAGACTTCTGTAGTATCCTTTATCTCTAGTTCGATGGGATAGATTCGTTCAACATAGTCACCAAATTTTGTATTATTTAGTGAGAGAACATCATCTATATAGCGGAACCTAAAGTTAAATGATATTGCTAACTTCTTATCTTTCTTCCTAAGAAGTTCCTGTATGAAGTCAGTAATAAATTTCCTCTAAGCTTGCGCTAGATCCATCCGATGTAAATTTAACTTGCATATATTTGACAATCGATCTTAATTCTGGAATAAGAGGCATATTTCAAGAACAGTAAAAAATACAGGGAGCAAACAGCAAATTTTGCAATTTTAAATTTATGAAGAGGCATAACACAAGAACTGTGAAAGTGACACCACCCAAATTCAAACTTGATCTGTGTTTGGCGGATTTATGCATTTTGTATAATTTTCATAACATTTGGTTGTAAAGTTAGAGAACGGAAACCAATTCCGGCAGGTACGGACGGACAGGAGTAAAACTTGATGCCCACTCCCCCTAGCGACTGGGGCAAAATGACGCATGCTCATGTTTGTCCATAGCCAGGAACATCGCCAGTGGCTGCTTTAGTTACATCTTATTTTGTAACCTTTCGTTCTTTTTTAGCTGCAAGTATATATCTCCGATAATTGTGTTTGACAATTTTTAAAACTCTGTGTGATTAAAAGTTTTAATTACTTGGCGACCATCGTCGTCGTCGTCGTCCGTTTTCATTGTAAACAATTCTTCAAAAATGTTTAACCACTAAACCAATTGCGTCCAAACTTGAACTGAATGATCACCAGGGTATTAAAGAGAGTTTGTGACAATCGACCAAAATTGCCGCCATGGTTAGAAAAAAGTATACAATGGAAAAAATATATTTATTGACTAGTATCTTGAAAACCATAACCGATAGCTAATAGAGTCAATACGACACGGGCAAAATGATTATAATGTAAATATCTATACCTACTTTTCATTCATACAAAAATTAACAAACATGACTAATTTTCGAGTTTTTGCCAATCATCTTGTATCCTTTAAAGGAATTGTATATAGCATAAATTGTCAGATATATATATATCAAATTATTGCCATGAAATGGCAATTTTTGACAAATTTTCAAGTGTTTGCTTATTATCTTGAGACCTATAATAAATAAATAGAAATTAGAAAAAAAAAAAAAAAAAAAAAAGATCAGCCATACAAAAACTAAAAAAAGGCGAAATGCCCGACCCAATGGATGACTTCTTTAAGAGTTATCGCCCTTCAAAAACGTGTTTGCACTAATTTTAAATGTTTGCCTATTATCTCGAAAAGTGGTAATTGTAAACAGCAAAAATGATTGGCAATACAAGATATTTTGACATTATATCTTAGACAATAATAATGTATTAATGATAATAATAATTCACATATTTGTCTACAAAGTTATATACCGATTACATAATATACATTGGACAGTAAAACAAAAGGACACATACCCAGCCAAAGTTGGATTATGAGACACTTTATATACATCATATAAACTATATAAAAACTAAAATACAAATTGTAGAACTTAGTAAAATTGCAACATGGTTAATCATCAGGTGCCTGTTTATTGAAGATGTCCTAGGATCTGTTCTTAGAGCCATCTAAGGAATAAAGTGAGATAATGTTATGACCGACTTACAACATGTCTAAGCATGCACATCGAATCTATCTTAGGATTATCTTATATTTTTTTTAAATGCATCAAATTTCACCAGTAGCAATAATTATAAGATTAAAAAATAGAATCATTTTTAGTATTATTGTAAAGATAATAAATGATATTTATCTAATAATTGTGAAATCAAATTTTATGAAACAAAAACAAAAAAATAAACAACGTTTTAGATAATAACTGAACAAACTAATTGTAAATATTGACAACTATAATAGGTAACAATCTCTATATATTATTGAGTGAGTTTAATTTGTAGTGTCACAGTTTTATAATTTAGAGAGTTCAAAGTTGTATCTCGTGCATCATCTCATATAAATACGGAGTATATAAATTATTTCATTACGGATCACAGGCGCTTGGGGAATGGATCCCCTTTTCTGATTTTTTTTGGGTGTTTTAACTATTTTTTAAAATAAATATTTCTTAATATCTTAGCCTATGTTCATTTATTTGATATAATTTATCTATATATAATGTCCCTCTATTCGTATTTTCCACGTGGAAACTAAGAATATAGGGACATCAAATGCATACTTCTGTTATTGTAATATGTTTTGGATAAGAGCAAGAACACATTAAATATGTGAAAATAGATAAAAATATTAAATAAAATTGAGAATGGAAACGGGTAATACCTCAAAAGAATATTTACGAAATTAAAAATTTAAATACACACACAAATTCATTATTTTAGAAAAATTGGCATCCATTTCCTAAGCGCCTGTTTTACATACCTGATAATCCATTGTAACATCAATGTCTCCCAAATAGTTCCAGTGGATGTTATGGTCCCTAGGCGGTCTATTGTTACAAACATTATAATTACTAGCCCCTGAATAAACATAGGACGACTCCTATGACGTTGCTTAAGGTAAGACATGTTTTATAAACCACTATGGACAAAGATATGTGTTAAAATGGTCTTGGGAAATGTTCTAGTCATAAGAGCTCTTCAATAAGCAGGCCTTTGGTTTATAATAATAACCTCTCAGGTGAAATAGAACATGAATAAAATTTAAAAAAAAAACGGAAGTATACAATCAAGAGTGTAAATTGCTTTTCAATACTCGACGTCTTCCTATCATATTATACACCAAGTTAGATAACTCGTATTGTAATTTAGCTTTCTGTTTGAAAAACATGGTAAAAAATTGATAAAATGTATTTGATGGATGTTTAGAGCAAAATAAATGATTGTCCTGAATAATAATTAGCACGATATCATAATAATGAATCAAATTATTTTTTTATGATTTTACTAAAACAATCTTGAACTTAATACAAATTGATAACCGTTTGTATAATTCAAAAATTTGAAAGTTGACAACAGAGACTGCGTAGATGTGCATTCAAAAATGAATATGCATTTCAGCGCAGTCTTTGTTGTAAATACTTAATCTGTGTCGACGTTCAAGACCCTTATGGGTAGTCAAGGTCGTTAAAAAACCCCTTCATCAACTTTGAAATTTTAAAATTAGAAGTCAAAATATTATAATAATTATCATGATTATGATGTTTTTAAGAACGAACATTTCCTAACATTACATAGGTTTTCAAAAGATTATTCTTTCGAATAATTTTTTAAAGATAATATGAACAGTAATTTTCATATGTTAAATCAATGTGGCTGGTCACAATGTAAGCACATAATGACAGTTTTTATAATGTTTTCCAGCATTTAGTCCTACAAAAGATCACTACAGGTTTGGACAAACTACATGTTAAATTATATAGTTATTTACATTTTTTAATCGGATGATAAATATCAACCTTCGGTTAAACCTTGAGTTTGATTCAAAGATAAAATAAATCCAGCTGACCACAGTTGAAAGTGTCCTTCAAATACATAGTCGAAGCTTACAAACCTTTGCCCTTATAGCTAAACTTTTGCTCTTTAATCAGTATGAACATTCTTACTTACAAGTAACAGACTATATCTAAATTAAGACATTAAATTTCCACTGCATGTTAGTACAACTGAGGTAAAGTCTGTAAGCCTCTGACATTGATAACATGTTATTTAGATGTTATTTTGTAAACGTATGCACTAAATCCCGTTTTTGTTACAGAACCGTCTGATGTAAATGTAACAAACATATATCGTCCAGTCGATATCATTTCTGGAGGTAGATTCTTTCCACTAAAAGATCCGATGAGATCAGTTGCATGCACTGCATCGTATACCTACAGTAAATGAATTGATAATGCATTGTTAAGAATACCTCCTATTTGTATTTGGTATACTATCATGCCGAACGAGGAATGAATATTGAAAATATGTTATGTTTTCATTTGACTTTTGTTGTTGAAATAGAACTTTCTTGATACGCTGGTAGTTCGACGACTTTAATAAATTTAGAACCAAAATTAACTTCGCTATTCGTACTTAGTAATCATTTGAAGGAAGGGGGTCACGTGATTGAACTAACAATAAGTGTTTTTGTTCCCCAAAACTTTTTAAAGTTTGTATAGTTATTCTTATGATATGGAAATTATCGCAAAACGTAAATATTTTGACTTGAGTATACGATATTGTGCATATTTTCAGTAGTTGGAGGTGTCTTATACACATTTTATTAGCACTAGTTAACATTTGTTTTGTTCATTAAGACATAACTTGAATATACTCCGGTTCAAAACGTTACGCCTAAAAGAGTTCATAACACATTGCATGAAGTTGGACTTTGTGCCTTTTAGGTGAAAGAGTAAACTAAACCTACTGTATAGTAAATTTGACCTATGAAAATATGTCACTGAATGAAACCTGTAAACTAATAGAAGAGACCCACAAAAGAATTGAGGCTGGACAAGATGGTCCTAATACTATTATGGATTTACTTTCATGATCCTCAAAGTGGTAACTAACATTGATACCAGAGGCAAACCTTTTGGAGTACAGCAGCAATTTCCGGGTGGAAACATTACTTAATCCTTTTATGAAACTGGCAGAACAGGATAGAAAACTATTATTAGTCACAATGGTCAGAGCCAAACTATATATCGATTGGAAGCAGTTCATTCCTAGACTAAATTCAGAAAAGCCCATTTCGAAAATCCAAGAACGGGTCTTTAGAGAAAATGAGCGCAAAGGTAGCGGAGAGAACGTTGGATACATGGACGTTCTGATGACTCCATCCAATGGCAAGTAAAATGGACGGTAAAAGTGACAGCGTACAGGGTCTTGTTCTGATACACCTCATTAGAAAAGCCAAGGAGAACATACATTTAAAACAATAAATGAAGCAGAACAAAACTATTATTCTTCTGTTAATAATATTAATATCAATGACTATAGAAATGATACATGTACAAATATAGATATCATGTTTTAAATATCATAGGTCTTAACTGTTGTCGAATTAAGAAGAGATTCAACTATAAAGAATTTAGAAATTTAATAAAAATCTGATGATATTGACACAATTAAGGTAGCAGGGTACGAGTTCCATATGAAAAATAGAAATGCTATAGCTAAAAGGCGAACTGGGGGCATCATTCTTGGCTATAAAAAACAAAAAGCAAGTAAAATAAAACCATCATTTACAAATCCTAAAAACGGGCTCTGGTTTAAAGTTTCGTCAGAATTTTAAGTTTATATATACCCCCAGAATATACCGCCTGTTCTTCACATGATGCATTTAGCCAACTGGAGAGCGAGTATATACATTTCTCACAAAATTACAAAATTGTTACCTTAATCATATTAATGGAGACTTTAACGGACGAACGGCCAAGGACGATGACTTTTTCCTTTCAACAGAAAACCATAAAAACAATGCGGCGAAGTTTTTAGAAATCGACGTCCTGACGCTTGACTCACTGTGACTATACCACGAAGGTATGGCAAGCATTTTTTTGATTTTTACAAAGGAAATAAACTCATCATAGATACCAGGATTGAAATTTTGTATTTGCGCCAGACGCGCGTTTCGTCTACAAAAGACTCATCAGTGACGCTCGAATCAAAAAAAGTTATATTGGGTGGAAAAAGAGAACATACAGAATTTTACCAAATTTGGTTTATCTCACAGATTTTGATGAAATTAACTCAAATATTAAGTTTTATAAATATTTCATGAAGATTTAGAAATCCTAGGCCTTAACTATGATGACTCAGCATAAATTCACAGATTACAGTATGCATAGTTTTACTTAAATCCCTGAATGCAAAATAATTCATAATATATGCATATTTGGCAGTTAAATTGTTTAGAAGTGCTTATATTTACTCTTCGCAGTCATTGAAACTCATAGATCCTTCCTGGATATAATGGGTGGGGTGTTTTTGTCCTGTCAATAACCCAAAAGTAAGCCGTAACACCTAAATCTACTTTTTTGTCACCGCAACATAAAAAACACAAGCTAGAAATACAAAAATATCTCAACAAAACTTACAATAGTGTGTCCTATCCTGAACATGTACTAAATATTCCATATTGCTAGAAACAGCAGAATAATTTAGAAAATGTGAGGCCCCAGGGGCAAAAAACAGAGAACATTCAAAGAAACACAAACAGATATTACAAAAAGTGCATGTGGTTATAGGCACAAAACAAGAACAAAAAACAATAAACAACATATAACAATATAATATATAAAACACATATGGTGGTGTGGAGAAGGCTAAAACAATATACAGAGTAACATTACATAGGGTAATGCTAAGTTGTTTTTAAGTGCAAATTATTCTAGTAATGGTAGCCACGGGTCCCAGCAGAGGTTAGCAATGTGAAGAGGCTTTACTTTAAAAAAAATATTCTTTTCTAGTATTGGATTTTCATTGAGATAATTTTTGAGCCCTGTAAAATTAACTTGATTTTCACATAGTTTTGTTCTATAAATAAAGAATTTTGATAATAGTATTATTAAATTTTTTATTTTATTATATTCTGTTTTTCCAAAATTTCCAAATGAAATTATATCCATGTTAAACGGAATTATTATGTGTGTTTGGTTATAAATCCATTCACCGAGACTAGGCAAAAAGAAAAAAAGAAACTGGGAAATTGAAAAAAAACGGTTGAACAATGATTGTCATTTTGAAAGTTTCAAAAAAAGGTAAAAGAACATTCAAAACAAATAGAACAGAAAAAAGTTTTCAAGACTTTAAAGTAGCTGAAAAAAAAGATACAAAAAAGTTATGGATCAAGCTATTCTTGATCACAAAAGAAAGTTGTCAAGGACAATTAAAAATTTTAAATTAAATAATTCACAGGAATTCTGGAAACTATTAAAAAATGGTAAAAAATTGGGAGCAAGCAGACAATCAAATTGAAAAACGTTTGAATTTTTGAAAGCGTTAAACGAGGAACTATGACAAACAAGACTTAAACATACCATATAATACCCGAACGATATTAATTGTCTGAACAAAAATATAAAAGAACATTTTAAAAGACGAAATTAAAAATGTATAAAAAAAAACATAAAAACAATAAATCCCCTGAGGAAGATTAAATTGTCAATGAAGATATTAAGGCAACCGAACATATATTCATAGACGTTAACAACGCATATTTAATATTATTTTCGTAAGAGTCCGGATAGTTGGTTTATTGGAAATTTAAGACCGATTTTTCAAAAACAAAGTTGACAAAATGGACCACAAAAATCATAGACCAATTATAGTTCTGAGTTGTCTTTGGAAACTCTTAACTGCAATTTGAGTGAGCGATTAATTTAATTTTCAGACGAGTTTCCTATCTTGAATGAAAATCAATGTGGATGTCGTAAAGAATATTCAACAACTGGTGATTTGTTTATAATTTTTAACATTTTTAAAATTCTATAAAACAAGAAGAAACATGTTTTGCGCATTTATTCATTTTGAAAAGCTTTCGACAGAGTTTGGTGGGATTGACTATAATATAATTGTTAATATGTATAACAGTACAAAGTCTTGTATTTCTTATAATGATTGTAAGTCAGAATTTTCCCCCTGCAGTAACGGTGCATGTAAAGGAATAGATTTATCCCCTTTTCTTTTTGTCTTATTTATGAATGACATTGCGTTTTTCTTTTTTTTTTTTTATCAAACTGCAACTTAAATGGACTGAAAATAATTTTCAACGAAATTGAACTCATTGACAACCTTAATACATATGTAAAGTTATTTGTAATCTTATATGCTAATAACATTGTGCTAATGGCAGAATCACCAGCAGATCTCCAAAAGCATCCTGACTCATTTCAAGATGACGTTTCCATATGGAAACTGAAAGTTAATGGTTAAAAAAGTAAAACATGATTTTTTTTTCTTAGAGAAACACTTCCAAGGAACCTTAGTTTCAACTTGAACAGAAAAGAACTAGATATATTGAATAGCTTTAATATATATAATTATTTATAGATATAATTGGACAGGAATAGAAACTTTAAGAGAGCGAAACAGCCCATAGCCAACAAAGCTACTAAGGCTTCTATGAGGTCCTTAAATTAGGTAGAAATCACGACCATGCAATCAATATACAGCTCGAATTATTTGATAAATATAAAAATCCATTTTACTGTATGGGTGCGAGGAATTGGGTTTCAGCAATAACAAAATAATCGAAAAAGTCCACTTAAAACTTTTTAAATTGCTGCTACATGTAAAGTTTTCTACACCATCCTATATGATATATGATGAACTTGGGAGACATCCTCTTTCTGGAAAAGAATCAAAATTGTCCAAAATTGTCTAAAACTTATGTTTTTAGTTGTCAGTTGTGAATGGAGAACGGCTTTTATGATTAGATCATATAAAACATATTTGGAACACACAAATTTTTATGAAATTGAATTGGCAGCGTCTAACAGTTACTTGAAACCTTAAAGATCAATTTGAACAGATTTGGCATTTATTGTTAGAAGAATCACCCAAAGCTGTAAATAACAGAGTAGGAAGTTTATTTAGATATTTTAGATAACAAAAATCTTTGCAGATTTATTACAACAAATCATACATTACCAATAGAAGCTGGTAGATGGTATAACTTATACCATGGTTGCTTACCAAATTTTGTCAATATAATGGAACTATAAACAACTGATACACAAGTGGGAGGTTTAGCTAGCTATAAAACCAGGTTTAACCCACCATTTTCTTCGGAAAATATCTGAAGTCAAGAATATGGCAGTTGGTTTTCACTTGTTCCGTTGATTGATAGCGTTTGATTTTGTCAGTTTTTCTGAACTTCCACTTTTTGAATTTGCCTTGGTGTTTATTATTTTTGTTATACTTTTTTATAACACCAACAGAAAGTGTACTCTGTGTAGTAAAAATAAATCGGGGATGAGTTTCACGTTACATTAGAATGTCCATTTATTGGCGGGAAAGAAAAGTGAACATACAAAAATATACATGATATAGTTAAACCAGACCAAACATTTTAAAGTATAAATTATTGATGTCATCAAAAAAAAAAAAAAAAAAAAAGCGTATTAAACTTTGCAAATTCATCAAAATCATAAATGAAGCTGTGTGTACTCCAGGCTAAATCTAGTGTTAAACCATCCCTATTGTTTTGTTGATAAAATGTCTTGTACTATTGTATATTATTAATTATTGTATATATTGTACATATGCATTTCTCTATACCTTGTCAAAATGATGGTTTATTGAGAATGTAGTTATATGAAAATGTAGTTTAATTTTTATTTTTAAATAATAAAGATCGATAATTTAGTCGAAATAGGTTTTGCGGTAAATCAATGCGTTGGATATTTAAAAAATGAGGCGGAATAAACAAATGGGATATTACAAATGCATTCAAAACTTTAATCCTGGTATGATTATTGTATGCATTAGACATAAAAGAAAAACAACAGATCACAATAGCAAAAAAAAAAACAACAACAAAAAACACGAAAATCGACGAAAGGATAAAAAAAAATCTACAAATCACTGAACAGCAAACTAAAGACTGAGAAACACACAAACCCAACCAAAAAACAGTGGTTCCACGAATGTGTAAACGGACCCTGCTCTACATGTGGCATTCATTGTGTGTGGAGTTTAAAGTTATTTATTTAAGGAATGACTGTAATATTTTTTCTGTCTATGAAGAAATAACATCAAAAATGTGGTGCACACTGAATAACCCGCGTAGCGGGTTATTTTAAAGTGTGCACCACATTTTTTATGTTATTTCGAATAGACAGAACAAATATTACAGTCATTTCTTATAATTTAATTCTTAATTCCATTTTAAACCGGAGTAAATCATGAAAAAACGTTGATGACGTCAAGGTCACATGACAAAATTATGTCTATGAGCTGATAAACAAAACAACATCAGCCAATCGGAAGACGCGTTACATCCAAAATTAAATTATTACTTGATGCACACTTTTGTACATAAAAATAATATTCAATCTTTGCGTCCTTTTTTATTGTTTGTGTTTTTTCTTTTCAAATACTATTATCAGTACGATCAAATTATACGAAATAATTTAGAATCTACAAACCTTTACAAAATCACAACAGCCCTCAGTGCTGAAAATCGTAAATTGTAATTTGGCTGTATATCCACTGCCAACATCGATACTCCAATTACCATTTAGGTTATTGCTATATGCTAATGGATAGCCAGGAGATGTTATCTTTTTATAAAAATAATCTATAATTGAACACAAATTTTTAACTATTTAGTATATTCATTGTTACAGAGAATGGTATATTTGGGTGGCTAACGTTTATTCGTAGGGGGAAAATGCTATGTACTTTTAGCGATTTGGATCCTTTCCGGTAGGAAAAGACTATAACAAATTTTCAAATGCAATTGAAATCGCCAGTACATTTTCGTGGTAATATAATGCCGCAAAGTTAAGCCTGAATGTTTTATGCTCGTAAATAGAATTTCGTTTGTTTCTTTGGACATCCCCTTCACTATGTTTGATTTTTCAATTTACATTGGAACATTGTGATTTTGGCAACCTCTTATTATCGAGAATCCGCCGGGTGAGGCAATCCAAATAAATAATCAATTGTCAAAGTTTAAGTTTACGTATTTATTTTAGTATCGGGCCTGTCGAAATGTCTCTCATCATCAAGTTAACTTGACCGCACTAGTCTGTAGCTGTAACATGTCATTTCACATATGAAAATTTTGTCCAGTAACAGATTTGGGATTTAATTTCGTTAAATCGTTAAACAAAATGATTGGTAACAATTGGTTAGACTAAGTCAACTTAATATCGGTTATGTAATTGGTTGTGTTTTAAAAACAGCCAAAATGAGAATATTTTTAAAATACATTGATGGATTTGGCTAATACATGTTCATTAAGGTGATATAGCTCATTACCTGTTAGGGTTCTTGTACATATTTGGTTTTCAAAATATTCGGCTTCGAGCGATCCTGGTGAAGATTAATCAAGAAAGGCGTTTTGGAAGTAAAAAATGTATTAAGTGTTATTTGCATTCTTATCAAATGCAGCAGTGAGCCTTTGTACATTTGAAAAAGGAGAAAGTTACCTGTAAATATTTTAAGCATGCTCTGAAGCAATCCCCCTCCTACCCAAGACAAATTTAGTGTATTCATTTATCATAGTAATAGAACCGCAGTATTTAAATGTTTGTTAGAAATTTTTATGATAGACTGAGATTTTGTTGGAATTATTTCAGTTTGCAAAACATATTTTATCATTCAAAAAGTGAAATTGAAAATCATTAGTCTTGGTACTACTGTCGATTACCTTATGACATACATTGTTAGCGTTGTAAGTATTACTAAAAGAAGACGCCAAAATAAATGGTGCCAACATTTCTCTTTTGTATTCACAATCAACTACCACTATTAGCAATCTTGGTAAATGCATGAAAGGTCAACAATTGTAGTGTAGATGTTTTTCTGCTTTGTATCGACCTGATGAGTTAAGCCTTTTTCAACCCATTTTTATAGTTTGTTCTAATGTTGTACTGTTACACCCCACTGTTCCAGGCTAGGAGGAGGGTTGGCGCCTTCAAACATGTTCAACCCTGCCACATTCTTTATGTGCCTGTCCCAAGTCAGGAGCCTGTAATTCAGTGGTTGTTGTTGGTTAATGTCTGTCGTATTTGTTATTCGTAAATTGCTTTGTTATAAATTAGGCCGGTAGTTTTCTGAATGGAAATGTTTCATATTTTTCATGTCGGGGCCTTTTATTGCTACCTATACGGTATTGGTGTTTCCCATTGTTGATGGCCGTACGGTTGCCTATAATTGAATACATCCGCTTCATTTGAACGTTGGTGTGTAGTTGTCTCATTGGCAATCATATCACAGCTCCTTATTTTATAATACTAAACTTTGTGTCGGCATTTATCAAGATGACCAACATTGCTGCTTTTTATTCAGAAACATATATAAATACTTGTATTGGTAATGATCAGGTACCTAATGATAAACTGTATGACAAAAACATTATCAATATAAGTTTTAAAATTAGAAGTTACTAACATATTGGCCGGCATTTATTTAAAATTCCAAAGTTTCTTCTTTTATTGAGAATCATTTACCGGTATTGCATGTCAGCAATCTTGACACCTCAATATGGAGTATATTCCTGACGAGGTGAACAATATAAGTGTACATTTTTATTTTCAAATATTAGGGGTGCCAGAATCTCTTCTTTTTGTTGATTATTAATTTTGGATTTGCTTTCATTTTCTAATTAGACTTGGCATTTTGGCTTATATTTATATACTAGTATATATATATATTTTAAAATTGCACGGCCATTTATTGCATATATTTTCCCTATTTTCTTAAGAAATGACTGATCTCTAAATAACATTTTTTCGGCTCGGATTGCATAGAACAAATGTTAGCTACAAATAATGTTCGTTTTGTCGACATGCGGGTTACTTATCACCAAGTGGGGGTGACATATTTTGTTACAGGGGTTTTGTTTGCATCCGAAAAGATACCCCCATTCATATAATGACTTTATGTCCAAAAATCCGATCTATTCGTATGGCTAACATGAAAATATGGTCCTATTCATATTCACTGTTGGTTAAATGTAACTGTAAAAAATTGGAGATTGATGCTTTCATCACAGGAATAAATTTATTTTATATTCATAAGATATTTTGACCCATTAATATATTGTTAATAAAATCATAACAATTGATTCAAATCGCTGGAACGTTGTAGATGGACAGGATAGCACAAAAACACAAGAGGTTCATAGAATTATTCATCATTGTTCCCGACATTATATGTTACATTACTTATTGGTGCAACTATCTTGAAAGGACTTTGTTCTTGAATGAAACCGAATTATGGACCTTTATATCTACAGGAGAAAGAATTTTACACTAAAGGGTGCTTAGAATTTCTCTGTATGCCATTTAGGAGTGTGAAGCTTCAAGGCAGGCAGAACTACTAGTATTCCACCAAATACTGAGATTATCATAAGTAGACCTTAATACATTTCAAAGATGTCATCAAATTTGATAAACAAGAGGGAGGTTATTAACTATTATAATAAGTTTCAAACATTTCTACAACAACTGTCACCTTCCGACCAAATTCCTACCTCATGTAGGCTTCAACTAGAATGTGGGGTTGACCATTGGGCATAACGGTCTACTACAGAAGTCACGTAACACACACCTATAGGGTTAACGGAGGAGAATAGATGTGATCATCACATCAGACTATGCTTCATATATATACATATAAATCTTCTGACATTGAATGTATAATGACTCGATGATGGTGTGTAACACTAATATAATAAAAAGAAGGTAACTATCCTTTTTAAATGGATATTTATTTTCCAACTGACGTCGCTGACATTGACTTAGGTCAAAACTTTTTCACTTACTGGAAATTCCCTTATCATTTCATATAAAAACACATTTTTTATAAACATTGTAAAAAACCTGTTCTAGGTCCGATTTTCATGAATTTTTTAATGTTAAATTAATAAGTGTACAGTTTTTTATGATTATTTGGAAATATTTTTATGACATGTCATCACTGAGAAATCATTATTTGTAAACAAATATTGAAATTAAGTGTCTTTTTTTTTATTATATAGATAGGATATGATTTTTTCGTGAAGAAATTCATATTTGTCTTTAAACCGTGATTTTCCTAAAATATATATCATAAATATATATCAGACGTATTGCAAGAAATGAAGACATATTGTATTCAATGAATCAAAAAACATTCAATTTGGAAAAGAAATATCTTCAGTAGAATTTGCATTATAGATTTCCTTTTTATATGAAATAATTGGATAATTCCGATAAATGAGACACTTTTGACATAAGACTACAATGGGAAAAGAGCTTCTTGTGATACTAGCGGGGGGAGGGTTAGCCTGATCTTGGTTTTCCCCTTCCCGCTGACGGGGACAATGGTATTATTCCAATCTTTTCCGGGGGGAACTGGATCGATTCAGTTCTTTTCCCCGTTAAAATTGGCATGGGAGAAATGGCTATAGGACACCGGCTCTTGTCGCCAGCTAGTTTGACACTGACTGGTACTCATTATTCATATATCAAATCGTTATGTCTCGTTTAATGATAATTGTTTGTTATCTAGGTATCAGATTAATATGTATGAACATAAAATATCTCCCCGAACGATTATACTATACTTACATGATAAACATACAAACCTGATTTATTTCTACATTCTGTAAGATTTTCCTCACGTCGTAGGTTTTCCTGTATCTCTAGACGATGACTCAGTTCCTGTATTGTTTCATTTAATAACGTCAAAGACTGACTAAATGAAATCATAGTTTTCATTAACGCAGCTTTTGTCTCATTCAGGTTGTCATATTTCTCTTCAGTGAAATCGTTTAACTCTTCCATTTGACATGCCATATATCTCTTTATGTTTTCAAGTTCATTTTTCAAATATTTTTCTCGTCTTTTCAGATCTACAATTTCAATTTCGTTATTCATAACTCTTTTAAGTAATTCATGGTAATTGTCTTTCATCACGTTAACTTCCTCTATGGTGTCTGTCTCCTTTACTACAGCATTCTCCGAACTTTGAGTAGTAACACCAGACACGTATCTGGTGTAGTAGCACGAGACAAAAGATAATATAAGAACTAACCGCATTTCCATTTCACCAAATTAAACTTGTAAATAAGGATTCTAAAATTCACATTAACGAGATAATTTCTTTCTTTGTAAGTAAAACGTTGCACACAAGACGTTGAATGAGGAAATTCTAATCCTATAATGTATAGAAGTACATTTTACACTTGCAAAAGCCAAAATGTTGCGGAAAACCGAATCTTCGTTACCCTCTTAAGATCACGATATAGTGAAATTGAAGTTACATCACAATTTTTACATAGCTTCCTGGATACACGTTAACTGAATACATGTATATGATATTAAGTGACCATTTAGAACTTCCAAATTTAAAAAAGATACGCAACATCAAAGCAATGCAAAAAAGATGGGGAAAAACCTAAACCTTTAGCAAGTACACTTCCCAAAACTCAGATTACTGTATCCGAAGTTAGTACGATTAGTCATTTTTGAATATCAAGTTAAAACAGTGATCTATTTAAACTTTAACGTTTTCTTCTATGTCAAACCCTTCACCTAATTTTACAGAAGTGAGTGCATACTTAACTGTTTAATTTTTGAAGTAATGTTTTCCTTCTTCCTTGTTATGATTAAAAGTACATGGGGGGGGGGGGGGGGGGGGGGGGGGCGGGTTGGGGGGGGGGGGGGAACCAGTTACTGAATAGCTTGATAGACTTATGTACAAAAAGTTATATGTTTGTTTACTATATATATGGCGTGTAGCATATTGTAGATGTCCAATACTAATAGAAATTGCAAGTTCTGCGCATATGCATTTGAGCGTCTAGAGTCGTTATACCCCCGCTTTAAAAAAGTGGGGGTATACTGTTTTACCTCTGTCTGTCTGTCTGCCCGTCCGTCCGTCCGTCCATCCGTCCATCCGTCAGTCCGTCCATCCGTCCCATGAATATTTTTCAGCTATACCGTGTGATGCGTTTTCAGATTCATCACTCAACAACTTCCTGTTTACCGTACACTTACATCATATTACACATGACATCCATTTTTCTCAGGAACTACATTACAAGGATTTCCGAAATTTTGTTTCAGGGTTAATACGAGTCAGCTATACCGTGTAATGAGTTTTCAGATTCATCACTCAACAACTTCCTGTTTACCGAGATATTTGGTCGGGGTATCATCAGTGAGCAGTAGGTCGCAGTTTCACTTGTAATATTTGTTATATTTAGACATGTGGAACAGGATCTGCTCACCCTTCCGGAGCACATGAGATCACCCCCCCCCCAAGCTTTTGGATGGGTTCGTGTTGCTCAGTCTTTAGTTTTCTGTGTTGTGTTGTGTTTTGTTTGTATTTTTCTTATTTTTCCATGGCGTTATCTTCGACTTATGAGTTTGAATGTCCCTTTGGTATCTTTCACCTCTCTTTTACACGCAGCAAAGTGACAAAGGTCGTGAATTTACAGCTCATTTTATATCTGAACCAATGCTAATGTGGCCAGAACTAGTAATTGTTCACGGGAAGCCAATACATGTACATCTCCAATCACAAGGTAGTATAGAGCGGTCAAACGGAAATATTCATGACATACTTACTGCATGGATGAGGAACAACGAATTCCCAGTGGTCAATTGGAATCAAATTCGTACATATACAGAAGAATTCTACTCTTAACAAAGGTATTGGACAAGGTACAAAGGCTAGAAAAACTTAAAACTGTGAAACAGTCTGTGCCATAGTACCGCACCGATTAGTAACAAATAAATTTCAATACAATATTTTATCAATATAACAATAAGAAGATGTGGTATGATTGCAAATGAGACAACTATCCAACAAGTTTACATATATTTTAAGAAGTTTATTCAATGAGTTTTAACATAAATATTTTACTTATGATCGTATTTCATATAATTGACATTTAAACTTCAGTTCTTATTATTTCATGATGTATAAATAAATTTCTTTTTATTTACTCTCATTTTCCCTTTAGGCATTAACATTAATGCCTAGACATAATTTTCAGGATTTAAGTTTAAATCCTAGGATTTAATAGTAATGACTAACATTATTTAGGCAATATACTTACTGGGTAGGCGTTAGCTTATTGCCTAGGATTTAAGCTTAATGCCTAATTTCACTTATTGCCGCTAACATATACATGAGAGAGAGAGAGAGAGAGAGAGAGAGAGAGAGAGAGAGAGAGAGAGAGAGAAAATACATTTTGACTGAATTTCAACCAAGAAAAAGTTACATTTAAAAGAAATATCTCCTTTTGCGCATAATGTATCATTATGCGTATTGTATACTGTCCACAATGCCCACAGCCAAAGATATTATTAAATAGTAGAATATTAAATGTTTCAGGGGATTTTATATTCAGATAACTGGAACGATCAACAGTTAAACAGTTACAGATTATAGAAACTTTAACGAAATCTCTCTAATTAAAATATTTCTAGACTTAAGAACAAATTAAATATCATAGGAAAGCGTTTTGTGTTTTCACCCGCTGACAAATCTGCAACACTGTTGGTTGGTGGTGTTTGACATAAATACTTTTTATTGAACTACTCAAAACTGAAATTACAAATTGGAGTTCTTTTATTAAGATTCTAACACAATGTTGACTGCTGTACCCCAATTTTTGACATTTTTACCTATAATGTCTGTTTGTTTTGCTCACACATTGTTGTCAATGTAATGGAATTCTATGCGACTCTCATACAAGTGAGAGGTTAAGCTAGCTAAAAAACCTGTTTTAATCTACCATTTTCTACATAAGGAAATGTACCAAGTCAGGAATATGACAATTGTTTTCCATTCGTTTGATTTGTTTGAGCTTTTGATTTGCCTTTTGATTAGGGACTTTCCGTTTTGAATTTTCCTTGAAGTTCGGTATTTTTGTTATTTTACGTTTTCTTATATACGTATAACCTATACTGAATGAAGATAGCATATTTCTAGAAGAACAGACTTTCTGGTCTGCAATACTCTTCAACTTTGTACCTTCTTTTGCATTTTTACTTTATCGATTAGAGCGTCACTGATGAGTCTTTTGTAGATGAAACGCGTACAAAGTTTGAAGCCTAATATATGATGAGTTTATTTGCAACATAATGAGCTCATTACGAACAACCATGACAAAGCCTATGTTAAAATCAATTTATATTTTAAATTAACCTTTTCTGCAGTGTGAAAAACTTTTGTAAGTCTTAGATAAGCAATGATTCTTTGTAGGTTGGTTTGCCCTTGTTTGCAATTAAAACTTCTGAACCCGATTGAATACACTACCACACAACCTTTATAATGTTTTTAAGATTTCCTATTTAATAGAATGGTCTTTTGATGAATCTAAATTTAACTATATTTGTTGTAGAAGATGCAATTTCTTTTTCAGAAATAAAACTAACAAAACGTCAAATGATTTATGTTCCGATTAGAAATTACCGTGCCCCTTTTTTTTTTGTCTGAGTTATTCCGTTACTGTTATAAATTCAAATTTATGGAGAGAAAATCATAAAAATCCAACAAACCACAACTTGATAGACATTTTTAACAATAAGATTGATTGATATTTGGTGTTTCACGCCACTTTAAGATATAAGACATAAAGCTTTATCTAAAACCGGTATATGCTATTCAATTACAAACATAAGCTCTGAAGAGCTTTTTAAGCTTTCCGGACTAATGACTATATCGTGGCGCTCAATTGGTGGAGGAAGCCGTAGTGCCTGGAAAGAAAAATCGACCTTCGGCAAGAAAACTGACAATCATAGTCAATTAAGATTGGAGTCGAACGCATCTGCCACGTGCGGGGTTCGAATTCACAATTTCAGTGTTGACAGGCTAGTGATACAGTATATACAATACTTCGACTACTTGGGAATGGCCAACGAGTCTCTTAAACAATACGAGCAAATATTTAGATGATATCTTCTTCTTAAGCTATCTAGGTTTTTCTAAATATACCAAAACATAGGCATTCTGCAATCTGAAGTAATATATCCAGCGTTGATGGTGATCGATAAACGTCTCGACTTTTCTTTCCTATTGTTATTTTCCTTTTCCTGAAGATGATGTTTCTTTTAATTGGGTACTTCTATGAGATTGATTTTCTCTCAGTTGGTTCGTATACATGGTAATATGTGCGTGACATAAAGACCATTTTACAGCAGGGATATAGATAGCATACATCGGTCACAACGTTTACCAAATTGCATTTCTAAATAAATATAGAGGTTTATCAAAAGTATGATTCCACATGCAAGAATTTAATAAAAAATTGATTTTGCTATAAATTATTCATATCTTTTATGAAGCTAACAAATTTAGGATTGTCCTCCAAATCTGTTTCATATTGATGAAAGTAATAAATCTTCTGTCAAGTACAAAAACCTATGTTAAGAGTTAATCGAAATCATGTTGAATACTTTGGGCTTGGTTTCAGAAACTGCTAACATCTCTAATTCGGCATAAAAGAGAGGCGGGAGTTACCAAAGTGATACTAAAACTCATAAGTTGAGGACAAACTGGCAACGCCATAGCAAAAAAACGATGTAAATTAAACTACCTTAAACCCGCCACATTTTATGTGTCTTTTCCAAAACAAGAACTTTGTCGGTAGTTGTCGTTTTCCATATCTAAATTACTTTCGTTATTTGAATAATTTTATTTTTTTATTGAATCTTTTCCAAAAACAGTTATCTTCTGTAACAAAATATCATGCAATCAGCAAATTAATGATATACGATACAGTTAAGATTAGAAATTATCTGTTGGCACTACAGATTACCTTGCCTTTTATTTTAAATGTGTGTGTCTTTGTTTATTGGAGTTAGGAAGTTCTATATATAGTTATTATCCTGGTCGTCCTTTAAATGTGTGGTAACTTCCGTTGAATTTCGGAATGTTTTCCCTTGTAAATCCAGTCAAGATCCCCCTGTTGTCCATATACTATACTTTTTAAAATTCAAATATTCTTTTTAATGGTTTTTTTTCAAACAAATATTCAATTAAGTGTAAAAAAGAGAAACCCATTGATCAACAATCTGATGAAAAAATACTGATTCAACCCCCGTGTCCCTTTAGTGCAACCAATGAGAGAAAAGCATCAACGACAACAATTTGAATAATAAGTAGACTTAGACTAAACATAACATCTACTTACTATACTAAAAATATTATGGCCTAAATATATGTAAAGCTTTATCTTTCATTATATCATATCGAATTGCCAATCACTTCAAAATAATGGGTCAAATTTGTAAAAAGTGAAATATTGATATTGGTCTCAGCGAAATGAATGATTTGAAATATTGAGAGATAGAATTAACTTCTAAATTGAGTCAGGATTGCATCGACAGTATAAGTATAATACTGCTATGCTTCCACCAGTCGAACCAATTTAAAAAAAAAATGAATCGCTGCAATCTTTCTTTCCATACACATGAATATATATTAGTGCAGAAATATTCAATAATAGCAGGAACAGATTCAGCAATTAGCTTAATTCGCAAATAGGGAGAATTCATAGTTAAATATGATTTTACATTCTTTACGTTTTGGAAGATTGATTTTAAGTATGGAACAGACCCTTCTATGAGAAAGAGAAATTTAAAAGTATATACAAATCCATAAGTATGACAATTTAAAAATCTATTTCTTGGTGGCAAATATGGGAACAAGCAGATGTTTTTTTTTGTCTCAATATAAGACCAAACACATCAAATGCTTATCATAAGCTTAACAATACACTGACCCTGGATTAGGAATATCAAAAATGAAATTCATAATTTTCTTTTGTGTTGTAGGTGAGTAGAAATTTGTATTACTCAGTTTAATTGATTATTTTGGCGTTTTGTCTTTGATTTTTGTTGTTAATTTGGGTTGTTTTTATTATGATTGATTTGATTGATTTTTGGTGTTTTAACGCCACTTTTAAGCACCGCTTTTGGGCTATTACGTGGCGGCCAGTTTTTATTGGTGGAGGAAGCCGGAGTTCCCGGAGAAAACCACCGACCTTCGATAGGAAAACTGGCAATCCTAGTCAATTAAGATTGGAGTCGAGTGCACCCGCACGAGCGGGGTTCGAACTCACAACCTCAGTGTTGACTGGCTAGTGATTACAGTAGTAACTACTTAGACCACTCGGCCACCGAGGCCCCTGTTTTTATTATGAAGGTACATTCAAACTTATAAGTATACAATGCCATGGTAAAAAAAAGAAAAAGACAAACAGCAGTACACAAAACACAACAAAGAAAAGTAAAGACTGAGCAACACGAACCGCAATCCGTGTCACACATGTGTGATGGTTGAAGTTTACGAAACAGCTAATAACTTAAACGGAAACATACATTAATTGTTCATAAAATATTCTTGAAACTATGAATAACTACAGAATAACTAATAAAAACTCTCAAAGTACAAAAGTAACAACACGTCAGTTTACACATTTAAAACAACATGTATACAAGATGCCAAAAGAAACGCAACACCTATCAGTATGTTGATTGTAAGTTTGAAGAACGTGTTTCTCAAACAGACAGTTGACATTTCTATTAGAACAAACGGTTCTCCTCTTCTATCCGACTTGTTCCTTATTCACATGAGACGGACCTCATATAGGGTGTTGAATGAAAAAGTAAAAAGTAGCTAGCAGTTTTCTTTAACTTCACGTTCTGTTATATTTAAAATTTAGTAGCTACAATGTATTCATATATACTGTACCATCAAACCGGAAATGAAGGTAACCACATATTCAGTTTAGTGGTCATATATATTGACTTAAATCTAGATATTGACAATTGGGGTAAATTCTTGTGACCTAATCGCTTTTCTGGATTTACTTTCATTGGGAACGCTTAGATAAACCCAATGTTTTGAAAGCCTTATACCTTATCACGTTTCTTCTTAATGGTAAGTTTAGAAAAAAAACTTAACGACAAAAGCGACGAGTACAGGTTTCCAATTTTGAACTTTCCATTTTTATTTATCAACATTGAAGCAGCGCCTGTAAATTGAATGTTTACCCCAAATAAAAATGATATTCAACAGCTTTCGTTTCCTATCTTCATTTCCTTGATATATGATTGCTGCTTACAAGGAGCATATTGAACAAAAAGTTCATAATGATGGAGCTGAAGTCATTCCTTCGAAGTTTTTTATGGGTGCCATCATGAGCCTGTTGAACGTTATGGAATATCTGTGTCACAGATGACCACGGATACAAGTATGTTCCAATTGTTGTAGCCATTGTTCAGTCACACTTTCCTCGATTGTGTCTTCACTGAATTAGAAATAGTACCAATCACAAAATTAATAACTGATATGAAAACTTAACAATTTTTGCGATTTAAGATGGTTCCTAAAGATAAATGAAAGTGCATTATAGGAATTTGAAAATTATTGTTATTTGTAATGCCCATTATTGAAGGCCATACGGTGACCTATAGTTGTTTACTTTTAAGTTATTTTATCTCTGGTGGAGAATTGTCACATTTTCAATCATACCATATCTTCTTATTTTTATAATTACCTTTGAAATTTACACTATACATGCATTGATATACACTTCACATATAAGAAGATATTTAAATACAAGAAATAATAATAAGTTTAATAATAATCCTTTAAATTGTAGTTATTACATATGGAGGAGTCGTGATTCCCGAAGATGAAGAGCTGTCAAATCAAGCCAAGGTAAACATATAGCTTGTCAAGATTATCATTAATAGGTATTTACAACAAAGCATAATTCAGCTTTAACTGTTCCATCTTAATTGTTACTTATAGAGGATTGTTGGTGGTAGTGATACAACTATTGGAAAACACCCTTGGCAAATATCTCTTCAGAGAGGAACCGGAAGTTCCTGGAGTCATAGTTGTGGAGGATCTATCATTGATGACAAATGGGTAGTAACAGCTGCGCATTGTGTTGAAGGAAGTTCGTAAGTAATCAAATAATAGGTCAAAGTTTAAAAATGCTAGACAAGGATTTTAAGTTGGTGACAATCTTATATGTACTTGAGATGAAGATACGATGTGAATAGATATAAGAAGATGTGGTATGAGTGCCAATGAGACAACTCTCCATCCAAGTCAAAATTTATAAAAGTAAACCATTATAGGTCAAAGTACGGTCTTCAACACGGAGCCTCGGCTCACACCGAACAGTAAGCTATAAAGGGCCCCCAAAAATTACTAGTGTAAAACCATTCAAACGGGAAAACCAATCTATATATAAAACGAGAAACGAGAAACACTTATGAACCACATCAACAAACGACAACTACTGAACATCAGATTCCTGTTAATTTAATCTTCATTATAGATGACATGACTTAAATTTAGCCATTGCGAATCTAGTTTAATGGAGGAACATTTCAACAGTACCTGCACTTGGCTTTTTTGTGTCAGTTACTACAGTACTCTAGAGCTTGCGTATACATTTTGTTTGCTTTGACTAAGGGTGGGTTTAATATGTTTAGAAAGGCTATTTAACCAACGGATTTTTATGATAAAGTTATGGTCCGTTTTTTTAAGTTTTCCCGAGGCAAATATAATTTGGTTGACCATCGTGAAATATCTTTTTAAAATGACCCGGTTCATAAGGTTTGTTCGATTTTTAGTAGCCGTTCTCCCTTCCTCGTTGGTTAATGACATTCCAAATACGACTTTGTGGAGGTTTAAATTGTCGTGAGCAACACACAAAACTACGGATACAGGAACTGTTGTACCTTTCAGGGCACTTGAGTTTGCTCCCAGTTTGTGTTGCGCAATGTTTAGTTTTCTGTTTCAGTGTGTTATGTTTTTTGCGAGTGTTGTTTCCTTTTCAAGCCATTTTCTTTTGCTAATCGAGTTATTTCTCTGTGTGTAAATTTCTTTTGTCACCAAAATATAAAATTGCACGTTCAAGTAAAAAATATTTTCTTGTTTTCTGTCTAGAAGTATTCATAAATAAAAAAGAGTTAAAAATGTATAATTAATAATTTTCCTGTGTATTTGTTGATACATTAAGGCGACATTGGTGATCCGCTTTTAAAATCTTGTAAACATCTTTATTGACCCAATACCAAATAGGTTTTCAAGTGATTTATAATCTTAAATTTGATTTGAAATGAATTATTTCATGTCTTATCTGTGTATGTGTCTTTGACGTTTGTGTTTACAATCACGGAATACCATAATATCTGAAAGTTTAGATCATATAAACTTGGTTCAAAAGATCATAACTTTTCCTAGCCTTTCGTTGCCAGGTAATTCTATCTAGCAAGTTAACGGGCTTAATATGCAAGCATATTTGCCTTTAGACGTTGTGCAACCATCATTCAACAATTCAGTTATATACGCATGAATGATATCAATAGTACATTACCTTGGAGTCTGTTGCACCAAAACAAAAAAATACTTATGGTTTAATGAGGATCAAATCGGAATATATATTCTTTTAGATCAGCATCCATACATCTTCAAGGTTTTTTATTTTTTGGTTTTATTCCTATATAAATAAAACCTTGAAAATAATTTCAAGAGACAGAATGTCCACCATAACTTATAATTAAGGTGTTGGACATAGCAAATGGACGCCATATTCACATTTAACTATATCTATCTAAACTGATGCAGTCAGTCTATAAAACCCTTTGAAAAAGTTTCACAGTAAAGGTATTTCAGCTTTTACACAATTACATTTCAAATGCAAGTACATGAAGTAAGTCATTTTTTTTGGTTCTTTTTTTGTGTTATTCATTATAGATACAACATTTTGCATACCAGCTGTGCATAACATTTATTAATTCTTTCTATGATATTTATATAAAACATCAAGAATCATCTTTTTGTCATAAACAAAATTGATTGTACCATACGAATAAGTAATAAGATGTTATTTTGAACAGCTTTATAGGAATATTGATCTGAATGTTAAACTTATCTTTATACTTTGGTGTAATTCTGTTGAAAAAACAATGTTATGGCATCACCAAATACAAAATTATCACCGTAGATTAATAGACATGACCAAAACGCCGGCCATGATCTATTTACTGTTCCTGAGCACCTGCGATTTCACCGTTTTAGTAGGGTTCTATGTCTTATTTTGTAGACTTGTTTTTCTTTCTGTCGTTCTTTCTGTCTTACTAGTTATTTTCTTCTACTTCTGATTTTATTATTGTCTCAATGGTAGCTTCTGTCTCTCCCTTTTCTAAACAAATGGTCAATAGCTAACTATGCGGTATGGGTTTAATCATTGTTGAAGGCCGTACGGTGACCTATAGTTGTTAATTTTTGTGCCATTTGGTCTATTATGGAGAGTCGTCTCATTGGCAATCATACACATCTTCTTATTTTCAAATGTAGAAGGCATACAACGTAATTTCTTATAAAAAACCCCTGTTCAATTATTACTTTGATAACTGACGGTGAATTGGCAAAAATGGAAAACAAAAAGCATAAGTATTTTGTATAATAAAAGTGTCGTCTTGAATATATGCATATAGTAATTGCCACTGGACGCATAACAACATTCCATCATCCACTCTAAATTCTGATATTTTTGTAAAATCAACATAACCAACTAAATGGCACGTATAATAGAGGCGTTCCGATAAGGGACACAAGTTTGTCTTTACTTGAGTATCATACCTTATATTTATATTTAATGACTGAACTATGTGTAACTTGCAATGACGCATTTTTGACATCTGAGTTATGTTTAGTTGAGATATTAGCAGGTAAACGAGCGATAACTCAATGTCCAATTATTGTCACGTAAACCAACTATGTCTGTATGGGTTGCTCACACACAATTGTTGTCACGTAAACCAACTATGTCTGTTTAGGTTGCTCACACACAATTATTGTCACGTAAACCAACTATGCCTGTTTAGGTTGCTCACACACAATTATTGTCACGTAAACCAACTATGTCTGTATGGGTTGTTCACATACAATTATTGTCACGTAAACCAACTTTGTCTGTATGAGTTGCTCACACACAATTATTGTCACGTAAACAAACTATGTCTGTATGGGTTGTTCACACACAATTATTGTTTCGTAAACCAACCATGTCTGTATGGGTTGCTCACACACAATTATAGTCACGTAAACCAACTATGCCTGTTTAGGTTGCTCACATACAATTATTGTCACGTAAACCAACTATGACTGTTTAGGTTGCTCACATACAATTATTGTCACGTAAACCAACTATGCCTGTTTATGTTGCTCACACACAATTATTGTCACGTAAACCAACTATGTCTGTTTAGGTTGCTCACATACAATTTTTGTCACGTAAACCAACTATGTCTGTATGGGTTGCTCACACACAATTATTGTCACATAAACAAACTATGTCTGTATGGGTTGTTCACACACAATTATTGTCACGTAAACCAACTATGTCTGTTTAGGTTGCCCACACACAATTATTGTCACGTAAACCAACTATGTCTGTTTAGGTTGCTCACACACAATTATTGTCACGTAAACCAACTATGCCTGTTTAGGTTGCTCACACACAATTATTGTCACGTAAACCAACTATGTCTGTATGGGTTGTTCACACACAATTATTGTCACGTAAACCAACTATGTCTGTATGGGTTGCTCACACACAATTATTGTCACGTAAACCAACTATGTCTGTATGGGTTGCTCACACACAATTATTGTCACATAAACCAACTATGTCTATATGGGTTGCTCACACACAATTATTTTCACGTAAACCAACTATGTCTGTATGGATTGCTCACACACAATTATTTAAGAAATAATTCATGGGGGCTTGAATATATCGTGATTTTACCACGGGTTGGCCCTTTATGACAAATATTTTACCCTGAGCGATAGCGAGGGGCAAAATATCGGCATAAAGGGACAACCAGTGGTAAAATCACGATATATTCAAGCCCCCATGAATTATTTCGATTCTAATAGGACAAATACGGCAATTCTTTTGGATCGAAGCGCTCTAGGTGAAGACATTATTTGCCGTTCCCATAAATAAACGCACTATTAAATTGACGTAAAAGAACGGAGCAAACTGAATAAATGGCATGCTTAAACTATTTACAATAACATATTTAGATAGGTTTGAATGAATCTAAATGATAATTGTATTTATATATCTTATATGGAAACAAAAAATGGCTTATATAACACATTTTAGCATCGTTTGTTTACGTTTCCTTTGTAACCGGAGCTAGTTATCCTGTCTTGTTTTTCATGTAATTTCTGAATTGTTTATTTGTAAATGTTGATGTCTTGTTTTAGTACGGTATGATTGTTCAAGGAGATCAACCTAAATAATATATTGGAAGATTCAAACCACCAAAAAAAACAAAAAGGAACAACCAGAATTATTGACAATGACTAAAACAACCAAAATAATATGAACGGTGTCATGTTAATGACTAAACCTTTAAAACAGGGTATATCTAAGCTCTAGGTTCTGTTGTAGTTCGATCCTGAGTCTTTGACTCCTCTTGGTAGCTTATTTAAATAAAGACAATCAAGTTCACATAGTTTAATGATGTTATAACGACAAATCTACATGTCAGAATTTAATATAAATATACATCAAATCAACACTTCACCTATAAAGCACAGTGTAATGAAAATTGGGCAAAGTTATCTCCCCTTTTCTAAAATAATATTGAAAAACCTTAATTTCCTACTTACTTAACACTAGTTACCTAAACTTGTTTTATAAAATAAACAGGCTACTTAATTAAATTTGGGAAGGGAAAAACCAGACGTGGAAGCTTAACAGTTTGAAAAGTTTTGCCAAAGTTTTGTCTTACAACAAGCCAAAATTGTAAGTCGTAACTAATGCATCAGCCAAGTTGCTAATAGTCAAAAACTAACGCTGGCTAGTAGAAAACAGTCCTAATTTAATAGGCACCTACCTTAAGAGTCTGTTACAGACAAGTGGCTCTTG